TTTAACCTATAGATCACTGCACAAAATTGACATCTTGAGTTTGAAACAGCTTGTCTCATCTCAGGAAGCTACTTTAGCTTAAACTGGAGACTTTAAACAGAAAGTCAATAACATATTAAGTTTCCAATTGCAACTGTAATTTGGACACTTGTATTACTGTGTGTTAAAATGTCATACCTTACATGTGTGTATGCACATCGCTCATAAGTATATCAGTCTACCTGAAACACTGCATGATAATCATAGTTGTTTTTTTAAAGTGTCCTAGGAATTCTTAGAGGACTAAATGATGTGAAAAAGAAAACACTTTTTCGTCCAGAATTTCAATGCTGTGTTTAGTTGTCAAAGATTTGCTTGTTAACAACTGGCAATAGTGTGCGCAAATTTATTGTGGAACTCTCTGGCTAGATACCAGCAGAAAATCCTGGTATGTACAGTTCAGGAACTCTGAAAAAGATTACCCTTTCATGCTTGCCTTAAGTGCTGTGTAGCTCTAACACTGCATCAGTTAGGTTTGCTTCAAAGTGTACAGGAGAACTTCCTCTTGCCCCTCTGACTTTTTGAACATATTTATTTTTCTTCTGTTGGCTAAATTGCCCTCTTACATTTTACCCCAGTAAAAGTCTAAATTAATTAATCTGAAATCAATTTGTTCTATTGAGCTGTCTCAGTGAGTTGTCACTTGCTCTCACTGTGACTATCTTGGACTAGAGAATTTAATATATTTCTTAAATACGCAACTCTCCAAATTGTCTGGACATTTCTGATATTTCTACCACTCAGACATTTGGAAAAAAGAGAGGGTGGATTATTATTCTGCATCCTAAAATACAATTACCACTACTCCTGCTGCAAAACCCTAATATATACCAAAAGGAAAAACCTGCTCCTTAACTCTAAGGAACAAGCAGAATACCTACTCTTCTCCAAGTGAATAGTGCGCCTTTGGATAATTTACAGTATTACCTCTGCTATGTCACTGTGCTAGAATATATAAACATTGCTCTAAAGCAATTAAGATCCATAGAGAGAAAAATTATGTAGGAGAACGGTAAGGGGAAAATTGCTGCTGTCCACAATATACTGCTTTCCCTCTTAGCCCCAAATTTAAACCACAAAAGAATTATGTACCTGAGTTAATAAGACATTTGATACCTTAAACCATATTTTAAAATTCCCTGAAGTATTAGCCTTCCAGAGATACGCAATTCATATGCTGATTACTGCTCTGCTAGACTAAATGAATAAAATTAAATTCCCTGAAAACTGATGGTACATCTTTTCCAAGCTATAGAGAATAGTATAAAGCAACAGTGAAGATGTAAAAATAAATATTTACAGCAACATTAAAAAATTGCTGTGCATGGAATTTACCTTGTAAATCTCCAATCATTTCAGATCCATGACTTCTGTCCCTTCGTTCTGCTTCCAATGCTGCTTGCAATTGAAAATTGTTCTTTTCCGCTTCCAATTTTGTGCTCTCTAGAACTCTACTTCTTTCCTGAAGTTCTCTATTTAAGGATTCTAACTGACTTATGGACTTGCTCATTTCTGTATGACTCTTTCTCAATCTCGCTGCTGTATCTGATTCTGTCCTTAGCAAATCATTGGCTTCTTCTAGCTATTAGTATAAAAAAAGGAAAGATTCTCTCATTCAAAGTGTAATAATTAACAAATTCATATATATACACATATATATGTCTTTTGTTAGTCTTTAAGGACTACTCGTTTTCAAGATTCGGCTTTGTTACATACATAATCAATGGTCTATGACAAATTTGAACGAACAATGAAAACATTGAAAAGCAATCACTTACTTGCTTTTGTATCTGAGTCATCTTCTCGTTTGTAGTTTGTGAATGCTGGCTAATTTTTTTCAAGTCTTCTAACTGATCTTTTAATGTGGACACTAGATACAGAAATAAGAGTATTAAATAAGGAATTCAATTTCCCTAGCAGATCAGAACAGAAAATCTTTGAGACATTACTAGACATTTCTGCATTAATAATTAGGATATTTCCTTTTAAATTCTTGAGGCCAAATTTTGTTCTTGAATATATATATCTCACTATCACACAAATTATTAGGAACGCCACATGCATACATCTAAAGGCAGAATCTGATATTTCAAATATCAAAAACATAAAAGGCTACATTCCTTTTATATCTATGACAAAAGGATTAATCTTTTTATCAGTCAGTATTTACAAAAAACCCTATTCTGACATTTCAAATGCAAAAAAAAATTACTAACCTTTCATAACCATTTTTCTTCAAGATGTACTGTTCACGTCCATTCCAATTTACATGTGCACGCACTGCGTACACAGTTATTAGAAACCTTCCCCTATCAGCCTCTGAAGGATCAGTCAGAGAACACCATTGACTGAAGCTGGAATATATCACCCTGCTGACCCACCCTCCCTCAGTTCCTTCTTGCTGGCTACTCCGATAGAAGGGCAGGAGGATGGGTATTGGAACCGATGTGAACACATCTCAAAGTACAGTTACGAATCTGAGTTAGTTCACTACAAATTGCAGCGTCATTTCAAGCCTGGTGATCAATGGGTGGTCACTGAGGAAGAGATAGGTGCCTTGCAGATGTCCTGAATCAAGAGCTGGGCTAAAAAGGCCATAGAAGAGGACAAGGCCCTCATGAACTAGGTGGCAATCGCCAGGGCAGGAATCTGCTAACTCAGAGTATTTATGGATATATTCTGTGATCCACAAAGAAATGCACTGAGAAGAAACAGGAAGACCTCTCATGCAGTCCACAACTGCCACAAAAAGCTGTGAAGACTTTCTTAAAGGTTTCTTGCACTCAATGTAAAAGCAAGCACTCTACACACATCCAGTGAGTGTAGCAGCTGTTGCCTTGAATTAATATGTGGCTTAGGATAGAAATCGAGAAGAAAATGAACTACTGAACTCAACCTAGGGTATGGCACACTCACAGAGGAAGCGAGCAATGTTCCAAAGCCAGCATGGACGGTAAGAAGGAACTGGTGGGTGTGGGTCAGCCATATACCAGCGCCACTCCAGGGAGCTCCCTTAGCTGACCCTACAGAGACTGCTAGGGGAAAAGTTTCAGACAATCGTGTATGTGATGTGCACAAATCTGATTTGGGATCAACGTGGACAAGCACCTGAAGTAAAGCACATTATTCATAAAACTGTATTGTAGTGTTCAAGCCCATATTTCTGGCACATGGGTAACATCGATTACCTTCATTTTCTACATTCCGTCTTTTTTCATTCTCCTGTTCTACTTTTCTTTGGTATTCATTTATTTTATGTTGCAGCAGCATGTTTTCCTTCTCAGTCTGAGATAATGTCAATTCTAAGTTTCTTCTTTGATTTCCCTGAAATTACAATAAACCAGCATTTTCGATTCACATTTTACAGAATGATCTTAAAAACTTCTTTATTCTGTACAGTAAATCTAATTCATTGACTTCAGCTGGTGATACCTTGGATCAAATGAAACCAGTAGGGCAAGTATTTCACCAAGTAAGATGACCAATATGAACAGCAGGTTTGCAGATCAGAATCTAATAATTCCCATAATCACTTTTGAAGCTCCTCTCTCATTAAAGCTATCATATCACTGCAATGACTGCATTTCACACAAAAGCAAAAAAATTCCTGTTTACAGTAAACTTCTGATAATTCGGCCCCTTTAGGACCCAGAGGGTGCTGGATTATCAGATATGCCAGACTATCGGAAGGGGGGGCTATGAGGGGTCTGGGATGGGGTGAGGGGGATGCCACCCCAGACTCCTCATAGCCCCCCCTTGCGTCCCTGATTCAGCCTCTGCTGGTCAGTTTCAGCAGCGGCTGAATCGGGGACGCCTGCAACAGAGCAGCTGGGGTGCTGCCAGGTTGGTCCCGTAGTGCTGACCCTTGGCTACCTACCGGTAGGTCCCATAGCGCCGAGGGGCAGTGCTACAGGACCTACCAGCAGCACTCCAGCTGCTCTGCCCCCGGCTTCCCCGATTCAGCCGCTGGTCAGTTTTAGCAGAGGCTGAATCGGGGAAGCTGGGGGCAGAGCAGCTCCAATGGTCCGGCTGCCCGGAGCACTTCCGGGTTCCTGATGGTGCTGGACCATTAGGAGTGCCAGACCATCAGATGCCGGACCATCGGAGTTTTACTGTACTAGGTTTATGAATACCACAGAATAATGATGTGCTACAGGATTATCTGCACTCTGATTTATAGAAATCTAGCTGATTTTGAAAAATTATATTGAATATTCTGAAGAATGAGGTTAACAGAGAATTCTGCCGAGATTTAAGATTCAGCAAGTAGTTTTGAATTCTAGAAGCAAAAACAAATTTAATTCTACAATTACATTTTGCATTTTTATAACAAATATAGCCAAAATGATTTGCGTTTTCTATTGTGGAGATTTCTTCTCAAATTTAAATCGCGAGTGCAAATTTTTAAAGGAAAATTATAAACGTCTAGCAATTAAATATTCTGTGATTAACAAAAACACCAACTTACCTCTTCATCCAGTTCCTTCATTATCTTGTCTAGTTTTATGATTGAAGTTCTATAAACAATGAATTATTTTAATGTATAAATGATTAATACTTTATTTCATACATTTCAATAGTTAAACTATTCAAGACCATTATTTAAAAAAGGCTTACTATATACATGATGCTTCATTCTAAAATATTTTAAATTGAAAAATGCCAAGTAGTTTATAGTGGGTGCCAAAAATGCGAAGGGTCAAATTCTGTCCCTAAATCCACAAAAAAATGTGGAAAGTAAGAGATTTTTGTACTAAATAGGAGGCAGTGCCACCCCTGCTCACTACACTTGCCAAGCCCCCTATCTGTGGGGTAGGCAGGCCCGGCTCTCCTCCCAGAATCCAGGGAGGGCCAGCAATCATGCCAGCCTGGCCTCTCGGACGCACACACACCGCCACTTGTAGCCAACTCCGGCCTCTCACCCTCCCAATCAGGCTCTCTCTCCTGGCCTCCTGGAGAGGGAACACTCCCAGGCCTCGCCAGGCCCCACAAAAAAGTGAAGTGCTGAATAACACCTCAGAAAAGAAATACAAACTCAGCAGCCAGCAATATGGAATGTCCATTACTTTGCAGCAAGATTTCCCCCAGTTCTATATATTTGATATGTATATCTGTCCAACTTTTATAAAACATTAGGCCACAACAAACTGTTCGCCTGTTTTAATTATTTACCTTTGTCCAAAAAGTTATAGCAATAATGATTGACATAGTAGTAACTGACATGTAATATACAGCAGTTTATACCAACATATGTAATCAAATTTATTAACAGTGAGATATCAGAGGACATGCTGATGTTACTAAATCCACATTGACAGTGTGATTATAGGGATATAATTGTTGAATATATTTTCAGTATTCCAAATGCTATCATGTAGTAGGTAGTCAGTATTTGGACAGTGAAACATTGATCATGTGTAAAAGTGCACACTATGTATTAAATAGTACTAGCAGATGTACCTAGCATCACTCAGTCTGTAAATGAAGTGATCTCTCTCTCTCTCTCTTTTTTTTTTTAAAACGAAGGAAAATGAAGGGTGGAGTGAAAGTTTGGGCGTGAGGTGGGGTAGGAGGAAGGTGGCTTAGGGCAGGGTTTGGGAAGTAGGGGGGGGCTCAGGCAGAGGGAGGAAGGTAGTGGGGGGGCTTACCCAGACCACCAGTGGTGGCGAGGGTGGCACTGCTGTGGTGACAACTCCTCCCAGACGCCAGGACAGGACTCTCCTGCCAGCACACATACACACCCTCCTTCTTCCCCTCCTCCCCCGCCCCGTTATCTCTACCCATGGCCTGCAGGCTATGTGGGGCGAGGCCAGGCTCTCAAGGCTTCCCTAACTCCAACTTCCCCTTCTCTAAGTTCCCCACCCTCCCCCGGGGCCTGCAAGCTGTTAGGGAGGTGCAAAGTCAGGAGGGCTGCTGCTGCCTCCAGCACCCTCTCCCCCCAGGATCTGCAGGCTTTCTGGGGAGGAGGGGAAGCGCCAGGGGCTGGCCTCCCTCCAACACGCCCCCCCCCCCCCCCCCCCAGGCACAAGGGAGTGGCCAGGCTCTGGGGCCAGTCCCCCATTCCAGCTGCCCCACACACACTCACAGCCTGCAGGCTCTCCTGGGGGGGGCAGGCAGGCTCTTTAACAGTGTTCTGGCAAGCAAGATGGTGGAGCCTCAGCCCCACTGGCCACTCTCAGTATTGCATACCCCCCATTTTTGTGTCCCTCCCTTTCGCATTCCTCCTCTCTCTGCCCCCTCCCCTTCCATGTTATGGGAAATAGTCCCATTCCTGGCAATTTGTGTTTTCAAGGCACAACCAACCCCTGACTTTGGTTTAAGAGGAAGCTGCATACCAAATTTGGTGGTTCTAGCTCTTACCATTTAGGTGGAGTTCTTGAACAGACTTGCAGACAGACACAAAGAGAGATGTTTTCTATAAGATTTTTTTTGTGTGTGTGTGTGTGTGTGTGTGTGTGTGTGTGTGTGTGTGTATATATATATATATATATAAAAAAAAAGAAAGAGAGAGAGAGAGAGAGAGAGAGAGAATAAACAGGGGCACTATATAAAAAAAAATAAGAGAAACA